TTCGACTTTGTCATCAAAATGATGAAGCAATGCAACACAAATATTTATTGATAAATGATGCGGGCAAAATTTATAGGGGGGCCTATCTCTTGAACCCACATAGACAATCCAAAAAGAAACCACAAAAAGAAGGGAATCACTTAGAGATATAAGAACAAACTCTTACATTTCAAACCTAACATAGATTTAGAAATTAAAAAAAATTTACAGAGACTACTCGTACACTTAAACAAAATACAATGACTCGAAATTAAAGACACCCTAAAATTGCTTCACAATTTAGAAGAGGGATACAGGTGGAGTGTAAACTTGCGGAGAGAAGAAAGAGGTTAGAAGCCAAGACAAAGGTTGGAAAGAGCTCGGAAAATTTCCGGAGGGGATGAGAAAGAAGACGGACAAAGCTCGCAAGCTTTTCCAAGCAAACCCGCAGGTTATAGCTTTTCCAAAAATAACATTTAATTCACTTCTTTAAAACATAACAAATCCCTCATATTTATAGGTATGAAAGGGGAATACCAAAAGACACAAACATTGAATTCTCATTGGAATTCCAAACATCACAAACCATTAAAACCCTATTGCTTTTCACGGAAAAACATCCCAAGACCAAGAACCGAAGGAGCAGCCACGGGAGCCAAGGAGGCCGCACGGAACCAAGGCGCCGAAGCCACGAGAAAACTCCCAGGCTCGGAAAACCAGCAGTCGGTTGGAAATCCAAGGGGCAAAGGCACTGCAAAAGCCAACCCGTGGAAGCCAAGGAGCCATGGCACGGGTAAACACATTTTCATGTAATTCCAAAAGCCGGTTTGGAATTCCAAGAGACAAACATAATTAAAAACATAAAAATAATACAAATTACATTTAATTAAAGATAACTATGAACTAAAATGTTAGCTAATAATGAGCTAACACTTAGTTCAATAAGTGAACTAAAGATCAGCTCATAAATGAACTAAAATTTCAGCTCAAATTTGATTGAGCTTGTTAACTCGAGGGAGGCCAAAATTGATTTATTTTGGACATAAGTTGACCCCCCCCCCCTTGTCTACATCAGACTCCCCTTCTTGAGGACTCAGCTCCCGATGAGTCAGTTCTGGTTGTTCTTGAGGAGGCGGAGACGGAGCATTCAGTTCTTTGATCTTTTCTTCAAATTTCTTTAAAATTTCTTCTTGTTCCTTCTCGAACTGTTGTTGTAGATATCTTTTCCACTTCTCGAATTTTTGATCACATAGGAACATGTGATACTGAAGCTTGTATAAACGGTCTTGAAGCGGATCAGTTGAATCACCTTATGTAGGAATCTATCTGTCCAACGGGAGAAGGACATCAGGATTGTCATGATCGTTTTCTTCCATGAATGAAGATATTATTTTGTTGTTTTTCATTTTTTGACTGACTCAAAAAATAATCTAAACTTAAACTTAAGACAAGACTAACGACAAGACTTGACTTGACAAACAAAATAAAACTTGACAAACTAATTTGACAAACCAAAATTTGACGACAAATCCTAGGACTTCCTAACTTGCTCTGATACCAAAATGATGCGGGCAAAAATTATAGGGGGGCCCATATCTCTTGAACCCACATTGACAATCCCAAAAGAAACCACAAAAAGAAGGGAATCACTTAGAGATAAAAGAACAAACTCTTACATTTCAAACCTAACATAGATTTAGAAATTAAAAAAAAAACTTATAGAGATGACTCGTACACTTAAACAAATTACAATGACTCGAAATTAAAGACGCCCTAAAATTGCTTCACAATTTAGAAGAGGGATACATGTGGAGTGTAAACTTGCGGAGAGACGAAAGAGATTAGAAGCCAAGACGAAGGTTGGAAAGAGCTCGCAAGATTTCCGGAGGGGATGAGAAAGAAGACGGACAAAGCTCGCAAGCTTTTCCAAGCAAGCCCGCAAGTTATAGCTTTTCCAAAAATAACATTTCATTCACTTCTTTAAAATATAACAAACCCCTCATATTTATAGGTATGAAAGGGGAATACCAAAATACACAAATATTGAATTCTCATTGGAATTCCAAACATCACAAACCATTAAAACCCTATTTCTTTTCACGGAAAAACATCCCAAGCCCAAGAATCGAAGGAGCAACCACGGGAGCCAAGGAGGCCGCACGGAAGCAAGGCGCCAAAGCTACGGGAAAACTCCCAGGCTCGGAAAACCAGTAGCCGGCCGGAAATCCAAGGGGCAAAGGCACGAGAAAAGCCAACCCGTGGAAGCCAAGGAGCCATGGCACGGGTAAACACATTTTCATGGAATTCCAAGAGACAAACATAATTAAAAACATAAAAACAATAAAAATTACATTTAATTAAAGATAACTATGAACTAAAATGTTAGCTAATAATGAGCTAACCCTTAGTTCAATAAGTGAACTAAAGACTAGCTCATAAATTAGCTAAAATTTCAGCTCAAATTTGATTGAGCTTGTAAACTCGAGGGAGGCCAAAATTGATTTATTTTGGACATGAGTTGACCCCCTCTTTATCTACATCAATAAACCATTGTTTTTGTTGTGCTTTTAAGGGGAGAAGAGAGAAAGATGAAGTGATAGAGATAAAGAAGTAAAGTAGAAACAAAATCAAGCCATTATTCCACTACGTGGGGTTGGCTACATGACTCTTTTTTCTCTATTGTGTACTATTAAGAGTTAAATTCTCATTTAAATCTAATTAAAAAAAGATCATTTATAATACTTTCTAATCTAGTCTTTTTAGATCTACCTATCCTTTTTTAACATAGGTCAGATCTAATACATTTACTCTTAGGCGGGTAAGAGATTCTTCTGAAGAGAGCTAGGAACAATCTATGGTTTAATATTCAATAAACAATTGTTTATCTTATGCATGGTACGTAATTTGTTGTATAGATGAGGTCTCATGCATATGCCTAAAATACGACCAACAAATATAATAATGGCCCAAATGCCCTAAGTATTACATTATCATGATAAGACTCGTAAAAGACACTCAGATCCTTATGTAATGTAAATAAATGAATATTATAGAATAGACTAGTAATGATCATTATAATCATATTGATTATAATGATAAGCTTTGTGCCGCATACTATTTATGTTTATGCTATCTCTCATACCTTTAGATGGTTGCTTTTTTATGAAGACAATTTGCATAAATCTTCCCTTTTTATTTTGTCTTCTTATTTTACATGTATTCTATAATATAAGTAAGATGTTATATACTTTTTTATTTTATTATTTTCATTCTTATTTTATTGATTTTTTCTTCAAACGATTCGGAAGCTTTGTCTTCTTTCATTGTAGAGGGTAACATTTCAATATTCTTCTTGTTATTTATTTATTTCTAGATCTAGCATTTTAATTTTTCTTGCATTTGTTTGTTACATATTTTTCATTTGTTTAGTTTGTAGAATGAATTATTAATTTTTATTTAATGGTAAATATTTGATATCTTTGGTAGTGAGACCTATAATGCTTTATGGTGTAGAAGGCTGGTCATTAAAAGAGAAGCATAATACTAAGTTAAGTGTTGCAGAGATGAGGATGTTAAGATGGATGAGTGACTTTACTCTTAGAGATAGGATACGAAATGAGCATATACGTGAAAAGGTTGGATTAGCTCCGGTAGAAGATAAGATTAGAGAGAGCCGCCTTAGATGGTTTGGGCACATAAAACGGTAGCCTTCCAATGGCTCGGTTAGAAAGTAGATGTATTATATTCGACTTATGTTAAGAAAGATAGAGGTAGACCTAAAAAGACTTGGTTAAAAAATATTAGAAATGACCTTTCTTTATTTGATTTAGATGAGAATTTGACTCTTAGCAGACACAATAGAGAAAAAGCATTCATATAGCTGACCATGTGGGATAAAGGCTTGTTGTTGTTGTATTTGTTATCTTCTTATCCTATTTTTTTTAACTTATTTATTCAATAGATTATGATATTATTCATACTTTAACTTTGAGTATGTTTTGGTTATTAATGTTTGAAGTTATAGATAAGGTTTGTATTATGTTTATTCATGAGCTGATGAAGAACGTCTTTTTATCATGCAATTTTGGGTGTGAATTTTTTTTGCATGTGCATAATCATTATATTTGGTTTTGTACTCTCTCTTACACAAACAATTAATTTATCTTTCACTGTTTATGCATGCTCTCACTTGCATGTACATGTGCAAATTATGTGTGTTTTTCCCTTTATTACATCAAGCATTTTGTCTATCAAAATTTGAGTGGGTGCACTCTTGTGGGCATGTGTTAGGCATAGCATGAATGTATAATATGCTTTTTGGCTTAAAAACAAAAAGATTGGTTCATGCATGAGGGGTTTATTGTCTATGACAGTGGTTGATGTCACATGCTTTCATGTGCATGGATGTCTCACTTTTAAGGGATGTGCTAAAGATTAATGTGCTCGCTAGTCATCTAGACAAATTAATATATCTAGGGACATAGGGAACAACTTTGCGAGTATGACAAATTAAAGAACAATGAGTTGTAAGAACTATAAAAATCATTCATAAAATCCACTCAATTATATACATATTTGTATGCAATTGGATAATTTGGGGGGTGGGGAATCACAAGGTTAATTAAGCTTCATCTCCACTTTAAATTATCTTGGCTCTTGAGCTAATTGAATGAATTTGAACCTAATGTTAGTATTTTTTAACCCAATGTGTTTTTTAACTATCCTAACTAATTAAAACAATTCTTTGTCTTTTTTTATTGTGACCGTCTTCTTTTGTAGAAGGATCCCTTATTTATTCTTAGAGGAATGGATTACAATATTTAGAGATACAATAAATAGACATGTTCTACAACCTATAAATGAAAATTAGTCTTAAAATAATTTGCTAATGGTAGAAATATTATTTATGAAGAAATATTTATTATCATCTATTCACGAGTGCCGTAAAACTTATAGCAACTGTTGAAATTGATGGTGTGTGTGTGTTTTTTTTTTAATAATTCTGTTCCCTATTGTTTCAGCAACCAGAGCTTCTAAAACTTAAAGAAGCAACATCACGGATCAATTCAAAAATTAAAAGCAGCAAGAAGGAGCTCGAGAAAAAGAGAGAAGAGAAGAGGAAGCATGAAAAAGAAATATTAAAGCTAGAAAATGACTTGGCCGATGTGAAAAGAGCCATTGATGCATTGAATGAGCATGGTCAAGATGGAGTTGCCAAGCTGCAGTTAGCTGATAATCAACTTGAGGAATATCATAGGATGTAAGGAAGGTTTTCATATGGAAACAAATTATCTTATTTTCTAGATTTTCATGGCACAATATGTTCTGGCATATCCCTAACTATTATCTTTCTGAAGGAAGGTTAAATATATTATTGACTTCAAACACTTAAATTTTAGCAAAAGAATATTTCTAAATTTTTTTAGTAGTTTGAGTTTGTATTTAATGTTTGCTTGCAAAGAAAATGACCATGATTGATTTAATTTTTTTTTCATGTCAGCTATGATGCTATGGGTAATATTGCTATGAAAACTTTCTTGCACTTTTATTGGTGCCTAAAACTTGTACTCTTAGGCGGTTTTGCTGAATCTGTAAAGCACTTTTTTTTTCCTTGGAAGCAAATAGATGCTCAGATGTTGGGGCTTCTTTGTGTTCTAGTGAAGCATAGCTTGTCTGATTAATACTTTACATTACTTGGAGTTTCTCCTTTCTATAAGGAGTTAAGGCACTTTGCATTAACACCTTATAAGCTGATAAGACTTGGTGATTTATTTTTTAGCAGGCTGTGTTGTCATTACCCCACAACTGCTATCCAAGCATCATCTAATACCTCATTTTTCTATAATATATATTCTTTCAAAAAAGCAACCCTAATTTACCTCATGCCATCACTCTATAGTGACTCCTCTACTTAAAAAGAAAAAAAAAGTGACTCCTCTACTTACCCTAAGGCTTAAGGGAATTTTAAAAAAAAAATAGTGACTCCTCTACTTACAGAATTCGGGGGATTAAAAAAAAAACTAGTGACTCCTCTACTTATAGTACAATAAACAATTGAAAAAATAATCAAAATAAGCCATTGACTTTTTATGAATAATCAAAATGGTCCTCAACTATATTAAATGATCATTTTTTGTCTCTTAAGTCTTTAAAAATGAATCAAAATAGTCTCATGGTGGGATTATTTTTGTTCCTCTTTAAGGAGTTGAAGGACCTCAATGGTCCTTCAATATAGTTGGAGATCATTTTGATCTTTCATAAATAGTCAATGGACAATATTGGTCATTTTCTCATAAACAATTTGTTATGTAGCTATGAAGATGGTTATGCCATATTTTTCTGAAAATGTTTGTCCTGTTTGAGCTTTTTTATTTCGTTGGTATTTTGCTTAGAGTATTCCAAGTTTAATATCCTATCATTTCCATTTTTAATCTAACTTGTGTAAGGCTGCAGCAAGGAGGCTGCTGGGACGAAAACTGCCAAATTAAAGGATGAGAAAGAAGTTCTTGACAGGCAATTACGTGCTGCTGATGAAGCCTGTAAGAATTTGCATGAGAATCTGCAAGAGCTCAAAAGTCGTGAACTGGAGCTTTCGTCACAGGAAGAGCAGTTGAAAACAAAATTGAAGAAAGTTAATGAAGCAATTGCAAAGCATAATGAAGAAATCTCACAGGCTAACAAAGAGCTGAAAGAAATACAAATTGATAGCAGTTCTTCTCGGTCAGTTATTTATGATTTGGAGATCTTTGATAATATAATACTTATTGGAGCATTTTACCTACCTGTTCTGCTCTTTTATTTTTTTCTTCTGTAGATCATAGGAAGAGCAGAGTATCGGACAAACAAGTCTGACCAACTATGTTTTTTTTCCCCAGATCATGCCATACCTACACTAGCACCAGACCTAGAATCTCTGTCCAGACTGTCTCCCAGCCTTTTAATCAAAAGATAACCTGGGCATTCTTGTTTGCACCTATGTATATATGGATAGATAGATAGACAGATATAATATAGACACACATGCATAGGCACGCACTAACTCTCACAAACAACCAAACCCCACCTTACTTTCCTGTAAATCGCTGATGATATCTAAGCGGATGAACTAGAATTTCTTAAGATTGTACGGCGGCATCTACGGGTAGATTGATCATGAGAAGAATACATGGTATTGACAAGAAGACAGCCTATTTTACTAATCAGCGGGCCTTAATATGATGGCTTGGAGTTAAAATTCAACATTGGTATTATGGAATGAAAAGGTTAAGTTGATATTTATTTGAAGTAAATATGTTCAGCAAAAAGAATTGTTGTGAATGCCAATTGCAATTAACTTATAAGTTACACCAAGAAACTTTCAAAGAGACACGTAAGGATTTTGTAGGTCTCTTTTATTTAGGGGGTCCAAGACTGAATTAGTCGCTGTTTGGGCTTGGACTGGTCTTGGCTTCTCAAGTCTGAGTTTTTGTGGGGGTTAGCATGGCCTTTTGAGCTGTCTATCTATATATCAGTTACATTAACTAGAGTTCTGTTTTTTACTTTGTTGAAGTTCATTCTTAATTTTAATCAGAGCACAAAACTTTGATTGCAGAGGGAGATACCAAAGTTTGAAGCAGAAAGTTGAAGAATGTGATCAAAAATTGCGGGAGTTGAAGGCTGATAAGCATGAAAGTGAACGAGATGCTCGATTGTCTGAGACCGTGCAGAGTCTTAAACGGCTATTTTCTGGAGTCCATGGTCGGATGACTGAATTGTGCAGGCCTTCACAGAAGAAGTTTAATCTTGCTGTTACAGTTGCTATGGGCAAGTTTATGGATGCTATAGTAGTAGAAGATGAAAATACAGGAAAAGAGTGCATTAAGGTAAGTCAAATGAAACTTGCATTCTTTCTTTCACTTATTTAGCCGGAAAGTGTCTCTATCGGTGATATCTATGTCAACACTACTGGAAGTTTGGTTTATAAAATTAGTTTGATTTGATGACTGGAGTGGAGAGGACAAATAACTATAACTTCTAATAGAGTGAGGCGTATGCCTCATGCCAGCAAGGCGAGGCGCCTCAAGGTGGGTCTCGTCCAAGATGAGGCATTTTTTACTAAAATTGCACTGAGGCGGGCCTCAAGGCAAGCCTTATATTGCGTAATTTTAAACAATTTGTATATATATATATATATATATATATGAAGGTTTCATCTGATATTATTTTGATTTTGATAGCACTGTGCATGTAAATTGTTTTCTATTAGCATGCATACTTAATGAAGTTTTTGGTTTCAAACATGCAATCTTAATTGTTCACATGGGAATGACAGTTACAAGCAATTGGGACTCAGTCATTTTAAAACAAAACATTTAATGGGTTGAGAGCTAAGCTTTTATGATGGTGAGATAATCTTCAAATGTGCACGTTTTAGCTTTACATAGGAAGAGTAACTCTCTCCAATACATTTTGAGTTACTTTAGCATCTGGAGAGTAACTCTTTCTAATACTTTTTTAGTTAATTGAAGCATCTACTTACTATTTTTGTTTTATATGTGATAACATTGAGGAAATTTGTCGGAGTAATGCAACTATTTCTAATCAAGATTTTTTTTTTTTTTAATGTTCAGTATTTGAAGGAGCAACGTCTCCCACCTCAAACATTCATACCTTTACAATCTGTTCGTGTGAAACCAATAATTGAGAAATTGCGCACACTTGGTGGTACTGCACGGCTCGTATTCGATGTAATACAATATCCTTTAATGGAACTTTATTGGCTTTACTTCATTGCAGAATATTCTTATTCATTCTTTGTTGATAACATTTTTTCATTTACATTTATGCCCTTTAATATTTAAGGTTATATATATATATATATATATATATATATATAAGATTATTGAGAGTTGCCTTAGATGATTTGGTCATGTAAAACGGTGACCTTCCAATGACATTGTTAGGAGAGTAGATGTATTAGATTTGTCCTATGTTAAGAAAGGTAGAGGTAGATCTAAAAAGATTTGATTAGAAAATATTAGAAATAACCTTTCTTTTTTAGATTTAAATAAGAATTTGACTCTTAATAGCACACAATGGAGAAAAATGATTCATGTAGCCGAACCCATGTAGTGGGATAAAGGCTTCATATTGTTGTTGTTGTAGAGCAACCTATTGCACTATAGGGTAGAAGATGTATTAATAAGAGGGGTAATTATATTTAATCCCAATGTATTAGGATTTAAAAATGGTAGACTAAAGGTATCATGGGTAGAAGTTGAGCTAGATAGATTTGCACAAAATAGCTTTAATACCTCAAGTAACATTTAGTTGGAATAAATAGAGAGTGATGATTAATAAAATTGATGTCAATGATGATGATGATTCTTCATCAACCATTTTAACTCGAAATGAATTGAGTTTCATTTTTATATAATCTAGTTTTTCAACTTAACAACTGTACATTTGACCGATCATTGGAGAGAGCTGTCTTATTTGCTGTTGGGAATACTTTGGTTTGTGATGACCTTGAAGAAGCCAAAATTCTTAGCTGGAGTGGGGAGAGGCAGAAGGGTAAATGCACATCCAAAAACTTTATTTGTTATTTTTGATTAACTTAAATATGGTACTTATTTTAAGTTGGCAAAATCTATTAATGCAGTGGTTACCATAAATGGAATACTCCTATCAAAGTCAGGTACAATGACTGGTGGATTAAGCGGTGGGATGGAAGCTAGGTCAAATAAGTGGGATGAAAGTACAATTGAGGGTATGTATAGCCTATCAAATATTCTTGTTTTAATATTTTCATTTTTTTTTCATAATGTATGTCTCGTTTTTAAAATTTTCCTTTTTTTTTCCCAATGTATGGCCTGTTGGGTTGGCGCTTCACAGCCTTTAAGAAAAAGAAGGATAAGTTGGAAGCAGAAATGGATGCACTTGGCTCACTTAGAGACTTGCAAATTAAAGAATCAGATATATCAGAAAGAATATCTGGGCTAGAGAAGAAGATCCATTTTTCCAAAAAGGAAGAGGTAAAATGAATAAATTACTGAAATATGTTTTATTTTTTATTCTGATTTCCTGCAATGTACTTTTCATATCGGCAGCAATTTTTTTTTTAATCTTTGGAGAAACACAGGACTCTTGATATTTCAGAATTTTCTTATTTTTTGGCCCATTAAATATTTGGTTTTTTCATGGTAGCTATTGAGTGCTTGAAAATCTGTGGTGATAGAGAGGTAGTTTTATGTCCTAGCTTTATATGTAAATCCTCAAATGCACAAATAACAAATAAAATAAAGTTTTAACGCGGAAAATTTGAACATGGAAAAAAATAGGGCTTAGCCCTGTTGACCTCTATACACGTGTCAAATTTAATCTAGTGCGCCAGAGGAGGCAACTAGTGGACAGGCCACACACTTAACGAATGTCGAAGCGCCCCGATCGCTATTAAAATTATTCAAAATTCATCTAATTGCAAAATAGACTACATCGATGTACTCAAGATACTAAATTTGGTAAGGAAGAGTCGTTCATGCGCAACTCAATCGAGAATGATGATAAACATGATTTTTGGTAAGTTGCTTGAAACTACCTAAACAATCTCCGATCACCAAACAGACAACGATGATGCTATCATATGATGTAGGCAGGGGGGGAAACAAAATGAAAATTTTGTTCTTTGGGCTGCTTGTTGTCTCACGGTTTGGCCATTGGCTGCTTGGTTTTGAGCTTAAAAAGTTGGGTTATACTTGGTGCTAGCTCATTAATGTTTGAGCTAAAGTTTAACTCAATATTTGGAGGAGTAATTGCACTTCCTAGCACATAAATTCAAAAAGGTATGTGGAGTAGATCTTGTCTCTTCCCCTTCTTGTGTCTCTTTGGTTTCTTCTTTGAGAATAAAAGCTGGCTGGTTGTCTCTTGGGATTTCTCCCTGGCTGTTTTTCCCTTGAATCCCTTACTATGTTTCCTGTGTTGGCTCCTCGGGTCCCTCTCTGGCTGCTTTCTCGTGGCTCCCTGGCTGGGTTCCCCGTGGCTTTTTCTCCTGTTTTCTGTACAAAATTTGGGGGGTTGTTGTGGTGCCTTTTGGCCTTTCATTTCCCCAAACCTGATTGGTTTTGGTTGGAGGTGGATTGGCTGTTTGGTTTCTTTCTTTTGCTTATAAATTGGAGATGTTTTGGAAAGAAAGTGAGTTTATGTGATGTGATTTTTGGAAGCCTAAACCTGCGGGTTTAGTCGTGGAAAAGCTTGCGAGCTTGTTCCATTCCTCATTTCGTCTAGGAAAGCTTACGAGCTTCTGCTCTTTCGTCTGGACTTCTAACCTCTTTCTTCTATCCACAAGTTTCCTTCCACTTGTATCCTTCTTCTCAATCCAAAAAAAGTAAGTTTAGGTGTTTGTTTTAATGTCATAAGTTTGTAAGAGTCGTCTTTATCCTATAAAAGTTGTATTTTGTTTAAATGTCATATTTGTGTCTTTTTGGGTATATTTGTATCATTTTTATTGCCCTAGGAAGAGTCTGCTTTTGCTTGCAAAAATTTGGGGCTTTTCTCAAATTTTTGCTTGCATCATCATAGCAACAAATTTTTCTAAGGGAGGACACCTCGCAGTTGAATTGAGGGATGACGATCTAAATCGACATACTACAAACGAAATATTGCATGATGTTGCCCAACCATCGTCCATTCTCAAAATGGACTTCGTCGTTGTGTCTGGAACGTTGAAATCATATAAAATTGACTTGAATATTGCTTGAGTTCGTGCACAAGAACAAATGTGAAATTGGCATGAGTTTCAAGGCGACAACACACAAATCGAGATGAACGGAAATTAAGGTGCATGAAAATCAAGATGCATGAAGGAGAAGGAAACTGTTTTAATATAATTCTTCTCTCATAATTCTATTTTTTAACATATATGTATGTGTCTCTGTGTGTGTGAATAATCCTATTCTATAAAATCCTTATCCAATCCCTTACTAGCTGCCTAAATCCTGCACAAATTCTATCCTGTTAACTGCCAGACACCCTAAATCTTGATTTATCCCTGCTGCAACCAGGCTGATAGTGTGAAATAAAAAAAAAACTATAAAAAAAAACCTTAATACAAAACCTTCCACCTCTCCCTAACATGGTCTCCGCTCCTCTATCCGGTCTTTCCAAGCCCCTGTTCGAAGCTCCCAGTCTTCTCCGCTCACGCAAGCAGCCCGAGCTCTCCACCTCTGCCTTCACGTGAACACTCCAGCAGTCCTCTCGTCCCCCACTCCTTCAACTATGCAGCCAGAGTAGCTGTGGCGAACTCCCTCTCACGTAAAACCTGCCTCCCTCACCATTCCAATCACGCAACAGCTCCACACGGCTGTGCCTATTGCAGGTCTTCAAGCTCCTTATCTTCTATCCACCTCCTTCAGCAAACCATTATTTCTCAAACCCAACATAGCTCTCTTCTCTCCCAAACTCCTAGAGCAGCTCTCTCAAATCTCTAAGGTTGAATCTCCTCTACATTCCAAGAGCTGCAGCCAACACTTCGCCTCCACTCTTCAACTACAGTAGCCTCCTCCCAAGACTGCTGCCATTGCAGCTCAATCCAGAAGGCCTTTTCAACCTGCTCAACACTTCTTCCTCATCCTGTCACCTCCTGCTAACACCACCTCCAACCACACAACCCAACAACTCTCTTCCTCCCTGTTCCAATACCTAAACAGCCTCGCAATTATAAATCCTCAACCAAACCACAAATCCAACCATTCAGCCTCCTCTTCTGCCTCCTACAGCTCCTGCTACAGCAACCACTTTCATTTCCCATCCCCACTGCATCCCTTCTCTTCTCCACTTATACAACTCCCTCTCTTCCTCACTCCAAGCACAGCAGCCCACAAACAGCCCTCCAACAACCCGTAAACAGCACCACAAACAGCCATCCAACAGCCCACTACACTTCTCACTACCTACTACACAAATCCCACTTCAATTTCTGCATCCAACAGCCCTTCCTCTCTCCAATATTACTATTATTATTAATATTAGTAGTAGTGTTAAAAAAAGGTCCAAAAAAGAAGAAGATAAAATTAAGAGAGAGAGAGAGAGAGAGAGAGAGAGAGAGAGAGAGAGAGAGAGAGAGATTGTGTTTGCCCCTCATTATCGTGCATTCAACACCGTCGTCACCTTGCATATGCTAAGGTATAACGCTCACTAAACCCTAAACTCCAAAATCCCCAAAATCCCGTTGTCGATGCTTGTGGCGCAACGAGTAGACCTCCTATGCGTGCTTTTCTTAGCACGGTGTGTGAAGCTCGGTGTGATGCTTGCGACGAATCAGATATGCCATATGCTTGCTTTTCTTAGCATGGCAGAGTAAAACTTAAGTACTTGTGCGCGCTTCCATGCTGACGGGGAAATTTGCCAGCTTCCATGTAGGTATCCTAAAGACCCATGCACGCCTTTCTTGGCATGGTGGGATTGAAAACCACGTCCATGGTGTCACCTGACACTAATCATGCATGCCTTTTTTGGCGTGGTGGGCAGGCTTATAGACTCCCCATAATTTTCCCTAAACGGTGGTGATGCTGGGAGTTGCCGATATTTAGATTGAACATGGAATTTGACTTAAACAAATTAACAGAGAATCATACTTTAATGAATACTTTTGTTAAAATTATAATTAAATAAAACTTATAAATCTTGAAGGTCAATAGCACGGGACCTTCAATGTAAATGGCAGCTTGCCTAAGGGCATTAACAAAGGACTTCTAATGAGCAAATAATTTGCTTATGAAAATGAGGTACTTGTAATGTGCACAACAATGCCTATGGGTGACTACAAGGAATATGCAGTGAATGTGATAATTTGCCTATGGACGTGTATAAGGAGATTGTAATGAATACAACTTGCATATAGGCAATATTAATCAACTTGCAAAGAACATATTTATTTCCTATGGGTGGAGAACATGAAGCTTGTGATGCAAATTATAGCTCATCTATAAACAAAGGCAAGGGACTTATAATAGGCAAAACAACTTGTCTATGGGCAATAACAGTGGCTTCCAATGCTTACTACTTGCCTACAGGCAATATTAATGAAGCTTGTAATGCACAACAGTCTACCTAAAAGAAATAACAAGTGGTTTGTAATCAACACTATATTTAACCTATGAGCTGGAGCAGGAAATTTGTAGTATATTCAAAACTAGCCTACAGGCAAGATAGAAGCTCATATCGAACAAATCATCTTACTTACAGGCAACAATAGAAGACTTATTATACATACGGTAGTTTGCCTATGGGCGACAACAGGAATGCACAATGAATGTAACAGTTGACCTACGGGCATGAGCAAGGAGCTTGCAATATGATAATTTGCCTACGAGCGAGAACTGAGAACCTGTAACGAATATATCAGCTCGCCTACGAGCAAATACAAGTACCTCTATTGAACAATGCAACTCGCATACGAGCAACAAATGATCTTTAATGAAGGCTACAATTTACCTGTGAGCAGGAGAAGGGAATTCATAGTGCACATAATAACTCGCCTATGGGCAAGGACAAAGAGCTCGTATTAAACAAATCAACCTGCCTATGGGGTAGAGTAGGGGAACTTGTAGCGAGCAGAAACATAGCACACATTCAAATAATGGACTCTTGTGTGAGCTTTTAAATTTTTAATAACTTAAAATGCCCTCTCATGCATTGAAATAAAAATCCTTAATTTTAAATGTGATGCATTGAGAAGCATGTCAACGCTTCAAAGAGCGTGCAACAACCTTGGGAAGCATCCGACAACCCGATAAATATGCTATCGCCTCGAGAAGTGAGTCGCTACTTCTAGAAGCATACACATGAATTTAACACTTGCATGTGCTCCAACTGTTACATTGAACTCCTAATCTCAAGGTCTTAGAATGTTGCACGGGTCAAATATTCAAATTTCATCTTCCTCCTTAGAAGGAATGGAGTCCACATGACTTGAATTAACAAGCAAATGCCTTATCGGCTTATCATAAATCCACTGGGATATTTAATATTAAAGTTTATATTAGGCCTTCAAAGGCTCTTTAAATAAAACTCATCATAAAAGTACAATCTCTCGATTTTAGCGTTATTTTAGCATTTGCATAATCATCGATTGTTAAACCCGATCCTTTGTTAGCGAACGAACATAGTTGACAAGGTTCAAATAACTAAATATTTTATTCCTCGATGATGATCATATTGAATGTTTATCTCAACCGGAGGGGAACCTATACTTTCAAATGCCTCCAAATTCTTATGAAATATAAATATTTTCAAATGACTTCAAAATCTCTTATAGTCGTGTTGAAAGATAATATCAACTTGAGGGGTTAATTTTTAAATTCTACCAAAACATCAAAAAGCCCAATGTCTATCAAAATAATATTTAAAATTAAAAATTAATTATCTAAACTTAAAACAAAACTCATCCATCATCTGCAATCGTTTGACGAGGATGACAAGCTTAAGAATAATTAACTCATAAAGAGCAAATGTCCAATCGAGAGTATCACTTAGATTCTTTCTCAAATATTATTCTGTCAGTAAAGAAGTGGCATTTGTCCTCTAATCAATGGTTTGGCCAAACGGCGCCACGAAGAACTCGTGGCTTGGCTAGTCTAGCTTCACGTGATGAATGATTATGACTGCGGCCCTTTGACCTAGTAGCTTGGTCGAACGACTCCACTACCCTTTGGACATGGCTAAAAGCCTGTATATTCCCCATTGGCTAGTTACCAGTAAGTACTGAAAATATAGGGTATAATCGATAGGGCATAAAAGCCCTATGTAAGCTAAGGTTGACTTGAATTCATCCCTTAGACAAACATTTATCCCACGTCTATAAGGCATCCTTGTACAAAGCAACCCATGGCTGCCGACTAGGATCCTTCGACCAGATTGGGTCGACTACCTCCTTTGACTATGCAGACTAGGGATCATGATGACCCGGGACGATAGAATCATGGGATCTTGATCGGATTCATGATCATTCCCCCACCATCCGCTTTAAGTGATAAGTAATAAAAAAATTATTTTTAAATATCTAGATATGCTGCCATTATATGTTGGATATCATGTATCTATTCAATGACTAACCTTTATTGAAAGTTCTCTCTCATTATTGGGGAGAGTAATTAACTATAGGGGCTTGTGCCTATAAGAAATCAGAACTCATATCTTAAAGTCCTCACTAAGAGGGCGAAATCTCTAGATAGTATCTTATCTCTATCTAATATGTATTGTGAAAATTTACCCGGAACATAATCCGTTAAAACTCTTCCCGAATATAACGTGAAGAGGCCGAGGCCCTAAAGCTCAAATTTTCAGAGCCCACAAGCCCAATTGAAAGAATCTACTATAGATTTTGAAGTTATAAATGTGCATTTTTCCCCACCACCAGAAAAGATGGGATTATAAAATTGGGAACACTTGTTTGGTCTCTTGTATTTGTAGTTGAGATTATAAGAGAAGTAATTGAGGGAGGATGACGACAGATGGATGATGTTAGTTGAATATAGATACTTAGATAATGATGAAGATCAGATGATGGTGATTAAACAATGGTAGTCGGATGATGATGGTCTAATGATAGTTGTCGGATGATTGTAATTAAATGATGGAGAGTGAACTCACAACTGAGACATGGATATCCGACGATGATGGTGTTCCGACGATGATGGTGGTCCGAAAATGATGGTTGTGTAGTAGCTATCGGTGATCATCAAAGTCGAACATCTGGTAGAGCTTTAGAGTTCTTTTGATTTTTAAACTTTCTCCAATCTCAAATCTAGGTCTCTCTATCTAGAGATTTGATGTCTATTTATAATATTTTAAGAGCAAGCATTTTAGTAAACTTAGCCAAAATTTAATAATGTTGCATTGAACGACTTAGATTAGATCTTTTATACATAGGTCGTTTATTTAGTATTTAAGTGCTTTAATGAGCTTAATCAAATGATCTTGGGCTTATTAGATTTATCTGGTTGAGTTGCTTGCTTTGACTATAATCATGTGTTTGGTCCTCCAATTAATATCCTAGAGTTTCTTAATTCTTACTATCCTTCAAGTGCTTGATTTGGGCTCTTTTGGACTTGGATCAAATTATCTTGGATGTCATTTGGTTCACCTTGTCAATATCTTTAATTCAAATATGAATTTGTTGAAATTGGAGTTTGAGTGGTTTTGAATTTAATTTTGGAAGTTTTCAATATAAACAATATATTGAGATTCAAGCCGATCAAATGAATTTTTTTATATGTATTAATAACCTTTTAGGCTGAGAAGGAACAGTTTGTCTTGATTTTGATCTTAAGGTCAGGAGTTTCACTCATGATCATAGCTTCTCATAAATTTTAGGTGTAAAGCTATGCAAATTAGCCTCTCCCTATAGTTTAAACCAGCTGGAGCCTTGCGTCCATCTGTATAAACTTAATGCTAAAAAGTATTTATCTTTTATGGACTTATTTATGCATTTATATTTTATGAGGACACCCTATGCACGCTATGCAAAATAATACTTTTTTGCCGTTTTTTTTTTTGTTATTGTTTTGACTTTAGTAATTGATGGCTACTTTCTTGTCTATTCTTGATATGTATAGTTTTCGTATCAAAGTTACGATGTAACGTACACATTAAATGACTTCATTTTCTACCATAACGTCATTTTCATCTTGTTCTATATCACATCAGTTGTGATTATTAGTTTGTCTCAATATTTGTTTTACTATTTAGAGCTTCCTTTTTTGTTACGTCAAGTTAGCTAGTAATTCATTTTGTTGGACAAGTTCTAACCTTGTAGTTTTTCCTCTCGTATTCTGTATAGCCTGTTGAAGTTTAATCTCTCTCCCTCTTCATTGTTGCATCTCTTCTCCTGGTTATAAACTGCAAAAACCCAATCCACTTAAAACATGTAACTGGACCGCAGTGGTGCATTGGTAAATAACCAAAAAGAAAAACACATTTTATTATCACAAGATTAATTCTTTTATGTTTATTGTCTTTTCAGCAACATTTTATCCTTTATCATTTAGATAAATATTACATATTTGTCGCAACTAAAGTCTTGAAACTTGTTTTTGGTTCGACTCTCCACTTTCCTCTCGTTTCTCCTGAGGTGTAATGCTTCACTTTTAGAACAGTTTTCCCCTTTGGTGCTTTCATCTACTGTTATGTTTATTTAGTCAAGTTTTTTTTTTTTTTTTGCAGGAGAATATCAGGGGTAAGCTTTCAAAGTTAAAGGAAGAAAAGAGTAATGTTATAAAAGAGATAGGTCGTATCAAGCCAGATATTGTAAAGGTGTTGCAATCTGTTATGCTCATCGCTTTGCCTCTCTGTTAAGTTTTTATTTATTTTTTACTTTTGATTATTTATGCATGCAGCTTGAAAGTCGTATTACTAAGACGAGTGAAGATATCCGTAAACTTGACAAAAGGATAAATGAGATTTCTGATCGAATTTACAAGGAATTCAGTGAGTCTGTAGGAGTCCAAAACATTCGTGAGTATGAAGAAAACCAACTTAAGGCTGCTCAGGAGATGTATGAAAGAAAGCAAAGTTTATCCAAGCAGATGTCAAAATTAAAATATCAGTATGTCTTATATCACTATTCAATGATTTGTATATTTTTCTCATACGATGTTCACCAGTGCATCATTTATTGTATTTCTTTGTTTCCTTTTTTTTGGATAGGTTGGAGCACCACTTAGTAGTTCTTTTAATTTTTAGGGAATATGTTATTTGCTTATGCTGCTTTATATGTGATTTGTTTTTCTTCTAATTTATACAGCATTTAACAAGACGAAGGGAAAGTAGACAAATATATATTAATATGGTTTTTCTATGAGTGCTATGATAATAAGTGTATATTTGTACAGTAATAGAAGGCTATTTGGACGAATTGATTAATATTTAAGATTCAAGTTGTTTATTTATTTGCCAGATGAGAGAAAGTTTTGATGTTAATTTATGTCCAGGGAAGAAGTTTTTGGTAGGGTTTTGTTTCATGAATACTATGATTTTTCCCTTTGAGCTTAGGTTGGAGAAATGTGGGTCAAATACGGTGGGTTAATATTGACTCACAAACATTCTCATAAGTCTATCATAATTATTTGTTCGGTTTTCTAAAGCATCATTTCTTTCTTATTGAGAGTTATATGAATCATTAGCTTTAGTTTAAACTAGTCTTTGCGCACAACCTCTAGCCATGTTATTTTTTTGCCTCAGTTTTTTATTCCTACTCATTTCTTAGTGATTATATTTACTCGTCTTATTGATGCTTCTCTTATCCTTACATCTCCAAGCTCAACTTAAGACTTCACTTTACAAGCCAATACGAACCCAAGTTGAAAAAATCAAGTTCAAGTAGGCATGAACATTGTATAAGCCAGGTTTGGGTCTAGTATTTTGATTTACAAAGGAGTTGGGTTCTAATAAAGCAGATTCGGGTCAGGTCAACCCAAACCTGATTTATTAACCAAAACTTTATATATTGATGTATATTTATCTTTTTGTATTGTTCAGTGTGGATTGATTGAAAATTTGGCATAACACATATATTAATAAGGTTAAATGAGCTATGTTTGGGTTTGCTAGCCATATCATCCATGTTCAGGTTATTTAGGTCCGACCTGAGTTTGGTTAGGATCCAATTTTTCGGCCAAGTAATAAACAGGTTAGGTTTGGGCTAAAGCATGTTTGAGTTGGGTCAATGTTGGGTCTAACTCAAACCCAACTTTTTGGTGTGAATTTACACTCATGATTATCTTATCTTTAATATGTGCTACTCCCTCAATTCCTTTATTATTATAATCTTTTGCACTACTTATTAGTTTTGTTTAGTATTTATGTTAAAATTTTTATTTTTGCCATTCAAATTAGCGATGCATGGGCTTCAAAAGTGCCTCATGATGGAATATGAAGGGAAAATTTGCTACCCGAAGTATAAAAGACTCATCTCATGAGAATTCTTGGAAGGCAAATTGACAATTGTATCCCATTATTTTTTTTAATGAAAAAAAAATATTAATCATGATTTATTTTAATATTAGAGGTTAATGTTTCCTTTAGGCCCCTTAATGTTTAATCGCATGTGGCATGATACTTAAGTGAGTTCTTGCTTATAGAGCTTTGCTTGTGTTAAACATATAGGTAGGATATATCAAAAAAAATTGACAAATAGTTTTATATCTTTGGTTTGGAATGCCACTAGACCCACATAGGTGTATTTTAGAAAATAATACCGTTAAGGTTGTCTGATGCAAGGAGATTAACAAAGGATAACTCCTACAACTAAGATGCAGATGAGAGACATGATGCAATGATTTTATTTGATTAGTTTCCCAATTGCGAGTCATAATTAGATTCAAACTAATATGATTTGGATATGAAGTGTTAATAGGCTACATATCTATATCAAGGATACTAATCCTAATTCTAATGCTTAATCATCATTTCCAACTTATGGGCTTCACCAAAGTCTAGTTGCTTTGCTGAGACATTGATGTGGCATGTTCATTTAATTTGGAAAAGGTGACTGAGTTATCATACTTTTTTTGTAAAAATATTTAGATTAACATTGTCGTTGCTAGGTCCCAAGTCCTGGATGAGAAAAATGGAGGGTTGTGTTAGGTAGTCAACAACCAGCATAAAACTTGTCGAATAATCATGACATGAATCATTTAATACATTGTGTTAATGCTAGGGTGTTCCTTGGAAGCGCCTCGTTGTATGGCTGAATATAATGACTAGTTGGGCCACTGCACAGGCGCCCAGATGCAGTGTTAAATAGGCAAGGGTTCCCACATCATGGATGGATGTTGGAAAAGAAGCAAATTCATAAAACTGAAATTAGGATAGGAACTTGTAATGTAGGTTCCTTATAGACAAGTTAATGAAATTAATAGATATTATGATTCATAGGAAGATAAATATTCTTTGCATTTAGGAAACTAAATAAGCTGGAGAGAAGGCTAAAGAGATTGATAGTTTAAGATTTAAATTATGGTATTCTCGTAGGAGTCATACTAGAAATGGTATATGTGTGATTATTGATAAGAGTTTGAATATTAATGTTATAAAAATTAATGGAATTTGAGATAGAATTATAGCTTTAAAGATTGTTGTTGATGCTAAGATTATTAATATAATAAGCGCTTATGCTTCTCAAATAAGTTTGGATATATGTTCAAAATTAAAATTTTGGAATGACCTAGAAGATTTCATACAAATGATACATCTTGAAAAACGATTTTTTTATTGGAAGAGATTTAAATGTACATGTTGGTAGAGAGGTAGATACTTTTAAAAGCATTCATGGTGGTTATGACCTTGGAGCAACTAATGAATGTGGTAAGATCATATTAGATTTTTTTAGCTTATGATTTTGTAATTGCTAATACCTTTTTTAAGAAAAGAGATGAGCATATCATTGCTTATAAAAATGGATATAGTAAAACTCAGATTGATTATTTTCTTATAAGAAAAATAGATCGTTTAGATTGCAAATATTGTAAGTTATTTCGAGTGAAAGTTTATGTATCCAATATCGCTTATTAACTTTGGACTTTAAGATGAAGGGTTAGAATATTAAAATGAGTATATTGTTGTCTAAGATTAGATGAGAACATTTAAAGAATATTAATAGAATATTTTTGAGAGGAAGATTCTATATCTTAAGATTTTGTCTATGTATGATGAAGCTAATGTTATGTGGAAAAAAAAAGCTAGTGACATTAAAAATTTTACAAAAGATGTGCTTGGAGTATCACAGGGAGAAGCTATTAATAGAAAAAATAGTTTGTGGTAGAATCAAAATATACAAGAAAAGATAAAAAATAAGAAGATTTGTTATAAAATTTGGTTTACCTGTAAAAGCTTTGATAATTGGGAAACCTATAAAGAGACCTGTAAGCAGTTTAAAAAAAGCAATTTGCAATGCAAAGATTTTAGTTTTTAATGATTTATATAATATAGTAGATATTAAGGAGGGCGAAAGATATATGTAGAGTTTGCTAAACAAAGAGATAGGAGTAGTAAGGATTTAGTTTAAGTGAATTTTATTAAGGATGAAAATCAAAAAGTATTTTTATTGAAAAAGATATTCGACAAAGGTGGATGAGATATTTTGCTAAATTTTTTAATGAAGATTATGAGAATGCAGTTGACTTTAGTGATTTTAGCACTCTAACTGAAAATATATATTTTTTATCGGCGTATTAGTAAATCCAAAGTTAAAGTTTTAAACAAAATGAAGTGAGGAAAAGTTGTTGGACTTGATGATATTTTAATGGAGGTGTGGAAATGCTTAGGAGATGAAGGAATTTCTTGGCCTACTAAACTTTTTAATACTATTTTGAAGGCTAAAAAGATGTCAGATGAGTGGAGAATGAGTGTGTTGATTCCTATTTTTGAGAATAAAGGTGATGCACAAGATTGTGCAAATTATAGAGGAATTAAGTTAATGTGTCATACTTTAAAACTATGGGAGAGAATTATGGAGCATAGCCTGCGGCGTGACACTAATTGATGTAGAATGGAGGGGGGTGATAAAAATTTAAAGATTTAAAATTCCATCTCAGATTTCCCTTAAATAATGGATTTGAATTTGAAATTCAAATATGAAAAGAAGGGAGGGAAGATAGGAATTAATCATCTCCTTAATTGGGGACTTTAATTAGGAAGGAAATAATTAGGATAGAGGGGAGAGAGGGTCGGCCAAGGAGTGAGGAAAGATGACGAGAACATCAAAAGATCAACGGCTATGATCTGGAGTTTATTTTATTTTAATGTATCTTATGTACAAGTTTATTTTTATATTACTGTTTTTCCCATTTTACCCTTAGGAGTGATCATGTGGTGTTGTAGCCCGAAGGGCATTTTTATCTTTGCTATTTTTCTTTTCATGAGGCCTATTTATAGGCTAACTTTTTTGTATTGAAGGATGATGAATGAATAGACAAATTTCAGTTTCTTTCTTTCTTGCTCTTGTTGCTTGTGTGCTTCGAAGAGGAGAGATCACCCTAGGAGAGGGCCAACGCAATACCGGACAGCCGCCGGAAGGTTTGGGCTCTCGGTTCTACCTTTCTTTCGTATTCTTTTTGTTTTCCCTCCATCTCCCTCATACCCCGGCCACCTCTTGCTCCCTACCCCAAACCCGAAAACCCCACATCTCACCACCGGCCCTCCTCAAGCCCTAGCTACCCGCTGGCCACCAAACCCCATAGCCGCCGGTCCCTTGGACCTTCTCGCCGCCGGCCTCTCCCAAGCCTCCATGAATTTTGAATTTCAAAATTCAAAACCCCATTCAATACTTATATTATTTGATTTTTCTAATTATGGAAAGTTTTTGAATCTAATTCTAATTTAAATTTAAATTAGATGAGATTTCATATTCTTATTCCTTAATTAGCTAATTCATTGAGGAAGCATTAATTACTCCCCTAAAACCTCTCCCTCTCAATTGATGCCGCCGGCCCACCCCCTCCTTAATTCCCTATTTTGCCCATGCCACCTCTCTCTAATATGAACCCCTCATTAACTCTCATAATTGGAGCTTAAATCAAGGATCTCATTAAAGCCCAATTAATCCTC